TTTTATAATTCCCACTGCTAAATATTTGGTTCAGCCACTCACCCTCTTTTAAGAATACTGTGAAACTAGATGACAGTTATACATTTTCTATGAATTGACTGAATAGTTACAATGCATGCTTAACTGAGAACACATTTTTTCTTTTAAATTAGTTTATTATTTATATACTATTAGACCTCGTGGTGAGGTTAACAGGAACTTGTAGATCACCTTGAAGATTGGCTGCTAACCTAGACACAGTTGTTTCAAAATTCTAGTACCACCTACCAGGGCCTCTCCGTAAATCAGAAGAAGGTCCAGACTTTCACAACTGTCCTTACCGTGGAGACCTCACACTGCTCACCTGGACCACAGGAGAATTTCTGTCTTTATTTCAACAGAGCCCAGAGTCAGGTCTTGAACCCAGATGACAATCAATAAAGGGGTAAATTAATTAACTGCATGGCTAAATTGGTGCAAACAAATAAAATTAGAAGTGTGAAGATGGTCACAGAGTGACTTTGGGATGTTTATGCAGTCTTCTAAGTGAGGTTAAATTCTTCTAGTCTTAAAAGCAACAAAAGAATTGACCCAAAATTAACATTTGGTGCCATTTTTAATTCTTAGACACTTCCTTTTTAAAACAAAGTCACAGAGTGGTGAGCAGCACTTTCTTTTCTGGTAAGCACGTCCGTAAATGTGACCTGTAACCTGTAACCCCGGGCCACCACATGGCATCTTCAATGTACACCTGGGAAGTGAAGTCCACAAGCTTAGGATGGAACTCCAACTTCGTTGCCCATGAGCTACAGATCTTTGAATTTATTTAACCTGTCTAAGCCTCAGTTTATTCATCTGTAAAATGACGATAGTGCTAAGAGTTTGCTGTCATGTGAATAAAAAGTGGAAGGTGATTAGAACAGTGCCTAGGATAGCTCAATAAATGATAACTGCTATCAATTACTGACACCATCGTTATTTTACAGTAGCACTGAATACAACTTTCATTAAAAATTAAAGTATCATGTGACCAGCAGAAAACCATCGTTTTCTGGGGCTTTAGACTTTGATTCAGTGACTCGTTTCCACAGAAAGGCAAGGATCCAGAGTGACAAACAGGGACCCATGGCATCACTCCGTATCTCTTCACTATAGATCAAACACCAGATGACCATGGTTTCCTACACACTTGTGAAATACCAGCATGGAGGCCTGGCTTTGTTTTCCCTGAACTCGCATTGATTTATGACCACAAGGGAAAATTAGGCTGCATATAAAATAATCGGCAACATAATTTTAACCTAACATATACAAGCAGGTGCATGGCTGCTTCTTCACAAAATTCTGCTGTGCAGGCTTCACTACTCCCTTTTCAATGGCTAAGAAACCAGCAGACAGAGAAGGTAAGTGACTGCCTGAGGTGCAGTCAATGGGTTGCATTTCCCAGTGACTGTGGATCTCCTAAGGAAGAAAACCTGTTATGGGGAAAATGCGAGGGAGGCCGGGCTGATAGCTTTTCATCCTTTTGGTTGACAAAGTTTATTCTCTTAATCTGGGGACCTGAACAGTACAGCTGCTTTGAAATAACAACTCCAGGCTGAACTAAGCAATGAAATGACACCTGATTTGCCAAGTACTTAATGGACAAACCCACATGCAAGGTGCTAAAGGCTTAATTTGAATACTCTCAAGTGACCTCTATATATTTCATATATGATGTAGTCACCATTCTTTGAAAAACCTTAGAAAATAAGGACTCTCACTGCACATGGCAAGGGAAGGAGAGGACAGGGTTGGGAGACTGAGGTTCAGGGGAGGTTCCCTCTCCAAGGGAAGGAGAGGACAGGGTTGGGAGACTCCCCCTCTTCCACCTGAGTGGAGGCCACACCATCTCTCCCGGCAGAAGGCCCACCACCTCCAGCCTGGGCTTTTAAGTGTGTTTCCACCAGAGATAAGCAAATTAGAATGATCTGCAGTCCTCTGAGAATAATGGCAAAAACAGACGACCCAACCAGTCTGGGCCTCACTGTCTGGATGACCTAATTACTTCGCGGAGTGACCGGGGATAGTTGAGGCAGGAAAAGCGCACATCAGATTAGGATGTTAATGACAAATACTGCCTTTTTCTCTGCTTTGATAAAATCAGATGATAGCCTGTCCAACAGTTCTGAGCGATAGAATACGGGGCTATAACAATTACTTGATGGACACCAGGACATGAAAGCTTTTTAGTTATATTTAATTTTGCTACTAGCCCATATTTAAGAATACTCTAAGAACCAAGTCTGTCTCTGCAATGGTAATAGCTCCATGTCATGTGGTCTATCTATCTTTGTATCTTTATCCTGCAAGAAAATACTATTTTACAAAATCTCACCGTTAAGCCCTACTTATAAAATGCTGCACACATGAAATCCATGTTTTGATGTGTGTGCATTGTGTGTGTGTGTGCGTGTTGTGTGGGTGCCTGCACGGCCGTGCATGCACGTGTCTGTGTGTCGGCGGGTACTAGGGATGGAAGCAGAGCCTCACCCTTGCTAGGAGCCAGGTCCAGGCTGTGCTGTGGGTGCCGTAGTTACGGATGGGCTCCGTGACAGGCAGGCCCTGGGATGAGGCTGTGAGCTGGGGTTCATAAGTACTTCATAAGTAGTTGAAGTTTTCATGCAGGCAACAATGGAGCAGCACACTTGTGACACTGGGCCTTTATTCTCCGTCCTTAGTGAGTGCCCTGGGCACACCCGGAATGACAGGCTGCAGCCGGGCCAGGGACCCCAGCCTCATGAGCAGCCACTTGTTGGACTCATGAGCACTCGTCCGTCTCACCCCAGAGGTCTCCAAGGAGGACCCTGGTGTGCTAGTGTGACGGTGCTGGTGACGAGCTGTTCAAGGGACAGGGGTGTCAAGAGCCCCAGTCACAACGCACCCAGCACACTCTCTCATCACTGGTGTTACTGTGCAGCCGGGAAAGTACAGTTTGCCAGCGTCAGGGAAACTATCTGAGACCAGTGCCTGTTTGAGATAGAAATGGGAAGACAGAGGGACAGTCTGAGGACAAAGTTGGAGCAGCTGGATCAAGCTATTCCTGACATAACAGTCTCAGTGACAGAAGCAGACCAATCCTTCTCTCTGTATTCTTTCACACAAATGTATTTACACAAGCCAATTTCAACTGACTCTGTCACAGGAACATAAAGAACCTCAAGTGATGTAGAACGCTTCACTACGAGAATGGCTCACACACCATAGATGTTCAAGTTAGATGTAAATCGTCAAACCCTTCTGCCCTGAGGGGCCTCATTACACACGCAGCCTGGGGAGACAGAAGCATCAGACAAAAGCTCCTGACCCAGCCAGGACAGCATCCTCGACGCTGCTGGACCACGGACCCCAGTGATCCCGAGCAGAATCCAGATATTAGGGCACCAACTGGACTTGCGAGAGAAATTCGGGAGGTGAACGAACGCAGGTGTTCTCGGGCCTCAGCACTTGCTTGCTGCAGGACTTCTCAGAGCCTCAGCACCAACACGCACTGTGGTGCTAGCAGAACAAAGGTGCAACCTCAGGTCCCGGGCTCCTGTGTCATCTCAGGGACCAGGGAGTGCTTTTTGAAAAGTGCTACACTTTTACACGTGGTCTTCGTACTTTCTGAGGTAAAGCAGCCTGAGCACTCCAGGGGTTTATTCACCTATTAGCAGCAGCAGGAGGAAAGGCAGAGTGGCATCGTGTGGAGAACGCAGGATTCGGAGTTGCCAAAACCCAGATTCAAAGTTGGCTCCAGGCTGGTGCCCTGGGATTAGACAGTCCTGCTAGGTCACTAACCACACGTGTGCCATGAGGAACCCAGGACCGACTCGCTGGGCTATTTTTAAATTTTATGCAGAAAGAATATCCACTTCCCTTTTAGCTAAGAGCTACCACGACCATCCTCACGGACAGCAGGTTAGAAAATTAGTGGTTTTGGGACCAGTAATTACAGAGAGAAAGGAGCATAATCAGATCCTGGTGTGCAGCTTGTTTTTTTAGCTTGCAAATTCCCTCTTTCCGGTGTTTCAGCTTTCAAAGGCTCGTGGTAGTTTAGAGGCAATCCTCTTATAAGGGTACAAACTGTAATGATTATAGGAACAAGTTGTAATTGTTTCTAGCAAGTTTTTCAGAGTCTTTGATGTGATGATTAGTGTTTTATATGTTAATATATTGATAGGGGTGCTTACTTGCTTGTTCTTGTGTATGCTTTTATGGTTTCTAGGTTCAATGTGCAAGTAAATCTTTGATCTCAGTAGGTCTATTTGGTTTAAAAAAAAAAGAAAGCGGAAAGAAATTAAACATGAGAAGCACAAGGTTCTGCAATATTTACGAAGCAGTGCGATTAGGGATTTCACTGGAAGAGTGCAGAGTTAGGGGCGGACACTGAAAGGTGGAGAAAGGGGCCGGCAGCACAGCACCAGAGAACGGAGCTGCCTGCTGGCGAGTCAGTCGGGGACGTCATCAGCGAGCTGTGACATGGAACAGGCCAGGCTGATGTCACACGGAGCAAATCAAAGGCAGCGCTTTGCAAGCCACTGACTTCCGCGCAACGGGGCTCCCGCCCTTCAGGATTCGGGCTTTGCAAAGCTTGTGTTTTGAGCTTGCCTCTCCTCACGGTGACTTCAGGAAGCTGCGTGGCAGGCAGGGCCTCTGGAGCGCGTACCTGGACCTGAATCCCGAAACTGTAACAGGAGTTTCCTTCCTGACAGCTAACCCTGAGAGGGGCTCGGCATACCCTCAAAACCCTGGCTCTCCACAGCACAAACCGCAAGGGAAGGGGACCATCAGACCACTAGTGCACACAACTGTGGGTGAGGCAGTGTTTACATTGTACCAGGAAAGAGAGGGAAGGCTTTGGTGAAAATACAGGTGAGAGCCACTCAGGTAAAGGGAAAGAGGGGGTCAAACTTCCTAGGACGCCCATGCCAGCGCACTGGTGCCCTTTGCCAGGCGCGAGCTTCAGGACTTCCGCAGAGGCAGGGACGCAATCTGTTTACCTTTGCTGTACACGATGCAGTTGTTTTTGTTGTCCTCCACGCCTTGCCAAGTCACATCCAGCAGCCACTTGGGACCGGCCGTCAGCACCATGGGGACTTGAGCCTTCGTCTTCTGCAGAAAGAATGATCACAAACAGATGCCGTTGGCTGTGGTTGATTAAAGACTCAAATCATAACTGTGCTAATCATTTTATTTTTACAAACAACTGACTCTCCCAAACCACAATCCAGCTCCTGATTCTCCCGTCTTCTGGTATCTTTCTTAAGACAACAGAAGCTGAAGGCTCCGCTGCTTTCACTAATCTGAATGGTGGAATGTTTGCCAAAGATTTTTCCCCCTAAATGATAGTGGATCAGATCTCCGAGATTAGACAGATCTCTTGGGGCCCTGAGTTATAAAGAGGATGTAGATGGCTTTCCCTGCAAAGAGCCGAGTGTTTAGAAGTGAACTTTAGACACATTGTACTTTCCTATCAACAGGATCTCACTATTTCCTGAAACAGACAGGAAAGAATTTAAAGAATCAGGATCCATTTCAAAGCTCTATCCTGAGCAACATTCATATTAGAGGAGGGACTTACACTGAATGAATAACGAGCCCTACCCTCGCCCTGTGTGAAGTGTGGCCATATAGTTTGCCCGTAGCCGGAATAACAATAATGCTCCTGATCCACTGTAGTTGTCTCCAGGAAGGCTACAAAAAGGGATCCTGAATGAATTCAGATGCACAGCAACTAAAGCACGATGTCCCTTGCTGAGAAGCAGGGAGGTGAGACCTACTTTCCAGCAAAATACAGTCGGTGTATATTTCAAACATAAGGCTCCACAGGGTCAATATTTCTGGCTGTTTGGCATCCAAATTCTTTATCTTTATTTTTATTTTATTTTATTTTATTTTATTTTGTTTTTTTTTCCGGTACCGGGAACCGAACTCACGACCTTGCGCTTGCCAGGCAGGCACTTTGCCACTGAGCTAAATCCCCAGCCCCCAAATTCTTTATCTTTAAATCTCTTGTGATAAATTTACATTGCGCGAGACAAACTGGGGAGGAAATAAGAAAGCCTCAGCGGCGCTGTCCTTCCCGGGGAGTAAGGGTGCAGCGCAGCCAGGATTTATCGCTCCCAGCCCCTGTTCTGCGAGTCGAACGCCGCGGAACCGCCGCACGGAGGACAACGTGGGGGCCTCAAGGTGAGGTGCGAACTGATCTTGCACCTGGATAGGGTCCCCCAAGGAGACCTCAGCCCATCCTGGGACTTCCCCACAGCTCTGCGCTACCACAGTTTCCCAAACTGGCACAGGGCGTGTTCTCGCAAGGAGCTCTGCGTGACCGGGGCTTCCAAACTCCCGCGAATCTGGACAGTCCATTCCCCACCCCGGGGTGATAGGCTGCAGCCGTCGTAGTTCCTGGCAGAGCCGGATTACTAACCTCACTGGGGACAAAGGCTCTCCCAGAGCTTGGAGAAGCAATTAGAGTACGGAGGGCAACAATCAATGTAAAATACTCTCTTTAATAAAGAAAAAAAAGAGAGAAACTTCAAGAGAAGTCTAACAACAACACTTGATATGTGAAATCAGAAGGGGTAGTAAACCAGTCCAAATACAACAAATTCTAGAACACTGATTAATAATTTTGATTACTATATATCATATTTTGGTTAATATATTTGTGATATTAAATATTTTATGTATATAAAGTATATAATTTATAAGTATGATATTTAAGTATATTAAATGTAGTAACTACATTAAATATATTTAATATACTATATATATTTGGTTATATTAATATATATCTATTTTGATCAAACTTATGCTCTTAATTTTTTAACAATGTATTTTAATAGCAAACTTAACCATGAAAAACACTTATCTGAAAGTCCTGTAAAAACAGTAATTTTATGTTCTAACAATCTATGCAAAAATGTTCTTAAGTCATCTATACTGCTATCAGTGGATCAGCAATTATTACTTAGTTCTCTATTCAAAGGAGAAGTACTCAATCCGCACGGTCACATCCATAAGCAATCAACTATGAGGCTCAGCATTCAATAAACATCTTTGTTTTCACCAATGGAGCAACAGGTAAGCCCACAGATATGGGTCCCAGGTCTCCAGGTGGCAAACGGGGTGGTCACAGGGAGGAGTCCGCACGTTTGGGAGTCAGTGGTCACCTTTGTAACAGCTCCTCCCTTCAGCTTCAAATAACAGGTTTCAAAACTGGCAACAGGCCTTATTTCTAGCAACTGTCTTATTTCATAGTAGACAGCTGTTTTAAATTACAACCTTTCCACTCCATAGAAAAGCCAGGTGCATTTCTATGCAGTAAATCACCTATAATTTTTCATAAGATAAAAATATTGATCACTGAAATTCCTTAGGAAATTTTTGGGTGTAAAGACAAGCACTTGATTTGTCGGTACCTCAGTCTTTCATTTACTTGTGCCGGGGAGATGAGTGAGTCCTTCCTGATGAAAGACACGGGTGGCTTCTGCAAAGCTGGTGACAGGTGAACAGGCCCAGGTTAGCAAGTGCTCAGACATGCGTTCTCAGGCACGCGCACACTCAGGCACGCGCACACTCAGGCACGTGCACACTCAGGCTTGTGCACAGGGTTGAGGCCCACGAGGGCAAGGGAGAAGCCCCTGTCCTGAGAATCTCAGGAGAGGTCAGACAGCAGGCACCCTCCAGGACAGACCTCAAAGTGTAAACGAAGGAACTGAGAGCCTCGGGGACAGCGTGGCAGAGGCTGAGCACTGCGAACGCAGGCAGCACAGGGGGAAGGTCTGGGGCCCTGCCTCACCTTCTTAGAAAAACTTCAAAACTCTGCTCAGTATGTTACAAAGGCAGTTTTCATCAGCATGACCATCACTAATACTCGTGTCTGTCGATGGAAGAGACACAGCAAGCACACATCTGGGAGAACAGATTTGAAACAGACATGGAAGGACTTCTATGGATCAGGAAACTGGGATTCATTCTACATGCGGAAGGAAGCTAATAAAGATTTTCAAAGCACAAACAACGAGGGCCCCAGGATTTATGCTCCTTGTGGCAGCACTCTGTTAGACATTTTCTTTATTTTCTTGGTCCTCATATATATTTTTTCAGACAAGAGAATTGCTAATTGAATGGGTAAATATTTCCTTTAGGAAGAAGGCAGCACCAGTATCTATGTTAAGCTCTTTTTCCCGCTGTTACCACGGTAGGAAGATCAAGTGTCCCGGGTTTTCTGGGACTAAACCGTCTTCTAGGAAAACACACATTCAGTGTTAAAACTGGAAAGCCCTGGGCAAAGCCAGGTGGGTTATTCACCCTCACCGCACTCCACCTGCTGTGGAACAGCACCAGTGACTCCCATCTCTTCAGCACTTGTCCTGTCAGCTGTTTCTTTTCCTCTGCTCCAGGACTTCCCTCAGACAGCGTGTTCTCTAATTCTGTCCATAAACATGTTGAGGCGTAAGAAGAGTTGATCGTGTCACTTAACAATAGTTCATTAATGTCTTTCCTTCCACAATGATAAGCAAAGCACTGTATCTTTCAAACGTCTGGCTAACTTTATGCCCAAGCACAGGGAGAACTTATTTATTAAGAAATTATATTGATGATTTTTTTCAAATGGGGAAGGGGTCAAGAGATGGAGTGAAGAGAGAAGAAGGAAGGAAAAGGAGACAAAAAAGATTTAAATCTGTGCATGTATCAACTTCACCCAAAGTACATAAGCAGTAGGCACTGCAAACATGTACGAATAAAGGATAAATGCAAAGTAAAAATAAATGCATGAATAAATAAATAACTAGTCAAATGTTCCATAAATGCTCAATTTGAAAAAAACAAAAGGGACTGTTATTGAAAGGAAAACAATTTATTCTGCTGAAAAACCAATACCGCCAAAGCAAAGAATGGAGTGAAGTCTGCTGAAAGCTATACCTAAGCTATCAACTAAGTAATAAGTAGATAAAAAAAATCTCAAGGGACCAGGTATTACAGTTTTCAGGATGGGAGTCAATTTTTTTCTGAAGGAGTCAACTTTTGCAGAGATTTACTGCCTTCCAAGAAGATTACCAAGTGAGAAGGAAGGAGTTAGCCAGGAGTGTATGAAATCTACACTCTAGAAAACCCATGAATAGAAAATAACAATATCCACATTGATCATTAGGTTCATTTTTCTATGTCTCAAAATAAGGATTCATAAAAATTCTAGGATATTAAGAGAAGCAACTTTAAATTTCCTTGAGTTTGTTTAACTACCTGATTTTGCAAAGGAAGAAAACATGTTTATTTACACTCCACAGAGGGTAAAGACTGGACATCTTGGAAAACAGAGCAGATACAGAAGGGACGCTAGGCGGACAAGGCTCCCAGAGATGGCCATCCCCACTGCCCTGCAACCTGGGGATTTTTCACCTGACCGGATAAAGGATTATAAACATATGATTAAGGCTCAAGGCCACAAGATGGTAAAATCATCCAAGACATCAATCTAACCTTATGAGTTCTTAGAGTTAGACAAGAGAGAAAAAAGAAAAGCAGAGCGATGGATCTGAGAAGGATTCAACCTGTCTCTGCTGCCTTTAAATTGGAGGCTGAGTCCATGGACCGAGGAGTGTGGCAGGTCTGGGAAGTGAGAAGAGCCTCAGTTTATAGAAAGTGAGAAACAGACTTCCCCCAACCTGAAGGTGCTACCTTCTCCCAACAAGCCCTTTTAACAGGGAACTCCTAGAACTTCAGACAGGGACATGTCTGATCAGCTCCTTGAATTCAGTCTGCTGGGAATTACACTGGCTTTCTGATCTGCAGAACTGAAAGACAATAAACATATATAGGCTTTTGTTTAAAATGGTTTGTTTCAGCAGCAATGGAAAATGAATACAAGAGGTATTCCAACTTACTGATTCATGGTTCAAAAAGTCATGAAACTTTCTGAGTACATGTGTTAGAACTGTGAACAACTTTCCCTTAGGGGGAGCCACCAAATCTTCAGGATCATTCCACAGTCCTTCGTACTTTAATGACATCATTCCCTATATTTAACATCTTGCTTTAAAGTAGGAGAACGTGATGATCATGATACCATGATGATCATGATGATCGTACCTGCTTCTACGATTGGG